AATAACACTCTAAAATATAGTAACCAGCTTTTAATCGAATTATATTTCATAATATAAAAAAAAAAATTTGAGTATATATATTTTTTTCCAACCAAGTTAAAATAGGGTTTGAGAACAGTGTAACATCAATGTTAGTATCGCACTATTCACTTCGTGAAAATATTGTTGAATCTCGCGTTCAGTGGAACATGTTAATAAGTGAGTTAATTGTTAGGGAGAACATAGCAAAATGGAACATCACTCTTGTAGTGGAACACCAATTTTGACACCACCTCAATCCATCCAACCATTTAGTCAGCTAAAAACTATATATATTATATCATGGATAACATATCTAATGGATTCTACGGAAAACTCTAACTTATACAATAGAATTTGGTGGGAGGAAGAGTAATGGAAAGTTAAAAACATGAAAGAGAGATTTAGTAGAGTAGAATAATGATGTATCATTAGTTAAAATGATTTTTTTTAAAAAAAACATAGAATAAAGAATAGTAATTTATATGCATTATAACATTATCAAATATATAAGTTATATAAAAGAGAAAAAAACGAAAGCAATGGATTTAGAAAGAAAAAATAGTATTGAGCTTGATAATTTACTATTTTTTTAACTCATTTAATGAAAAAAATTTAAATTTTAATAAAACTATTAGTCATCTGTTAGCATACATATATAGAAATAAAAGAGGATAGCAAGAGGCATTAGAGTTATTATGTAAAAAAAAAACATGGCAATAAAAAACCATGGGGCGGAACATAGTCTGTATTATTTCACCAGTATATATCACAATTATAAATGATTCCCCTAACCATACTTGGGAAATATGTTGATACAATATAGTAAACATAAATTACATAAATGAATTTCATGGTGGAAGTTGGAAGAGCTTAGTAGCATGAGAGTTGTCTTCAACATAAATTTGCAATTTATTTGATCATTATTCTTTAAACAGAGGAAACTATAAGACAATAATTATGGAATAAATTTTGGTATTAGCATCGAGAGTTAAAGTTAATATTGACATAGGCAATGTCTTGCATTGATATCGTTGACGATGGTCGGTGAAGAAGTCAATGAGCATCAACATTAGGCCTTATAAGCAATGATGTGTGTCAATGATATTATTAATGACATGAATCAATGTTGATATGTGTCGATGTAATGAAGTGATAGTGACTACAAGATTCTAGTGGGATGAAACTTGTTGTGAGACCGTAGTTAAACGACTGTACTTGAATGATCATAGTCAGGCGATAGTAATTAAGGGATTATAGTCAAACAATGAGGGTTAGAGGATCATAATTGGTTGAGATTAATTAGGACCGTAGTTGGGTGTTGGTGGTCAGAGACCCGCAGTAAAACAATAATGGTCAGAGAACCATAGTTAGGGAAACTATGGTTTAAGGATTAAAGTTGGACGAACATGGTAGGAAGGCACAGTTGGGTGATAATGTTCAAAAGACGTACTCGATTGATGATTTTTGGAAGATCATATTCTAGCAGTGATTGAATATTTGTAGTTGAGTGATGATAGTTGAAGGACCATAGTTAAGCAAGCTAGTTATAGAGGCTAGGTGGTCGGAAGATCATAGTCAAACTACACTGGTTGAAGGACCATAGTCAAGCAACCATGGTTTGGGTATCTTAGTTAGTTGTTTGTGGCTAAAAGACATTTGTTAGGTAATAATGGCTAGGAGATCATAATTGGGTTATAATGATCAAAAGATCATAATCAAGTGATGGTGGCTGGGGATCTGTAATAGCCGCAATTTAACTCAAACAAATTTTTTTTATGAGTCATTATAAGTCTAATTTACAAACCATCTTCGCCGTAAGATAGATATTATAATATTTTAATTATAATTTTTTTTTCGTAATTTTTTAACACTTGTGCAAATTCTTAATAAATTAACACCTGTCGATAAAAGTAAGCATTTTGTAACTGTCACATGTCCGTTTTGCAAACTGATTCAACCATAATTTTCTAACTTAATAGAGTTACTTTATAGATATTTTTCTATAACTTTTAAAACCCTAAAAAGATTTGTATAAATTTTATATTAAAAATTTTAACAAACTATATAATTATATAATATTATATTATTATTTTAGTACAAATATCTTAATCCAATGAATGAACTAGTCAAATGCAATTTATTCCTCTTCCCATTCGTTTTTAACAAAGCTAGAGAAACAGAAAGCCCCCAAATTAAAGAGAAATTAAAGAAGAGAGAAAATAGAACTCAAGATTTAAATGCCGTAGAGTGATTTTGACCGCCCAGTCTTGTTGGAAAATTTGCTCGTCTCACTATATATAATGAATGATTACCCTATTTCTAATTTCAATAATTTGATATTTTGAACATTTTTCTGATCCCCCTCACTAATATGGGGATCCGCCCATGTTCATACATGACATTGACAAAAATATAGCATTTGCATGTAAGCAAGGCTAGATGGAAGGCTGGTTCTTAATATGAAATATGAAGACTAATACCAATTGGTTGACAATTAGGCCTAATTAAGCTTGATACCCAACTGGGCAACAATTGGGGTAGACCAATACCAATTGATTAACAGTTGGGCCTAATAAAGACTGATACCCAATTATGTGACAATTGGGGTTGACCGATACCAATTAATTGAAAGTAGGGCCTAATTAAGATTGATACCAAATTGGCCAATTATTGAGGTGGAAAAAGATGTTATATTCATGATTACATTTATATGATAATACATTTGAATTGATTGATAATACAATGAATTGATCGATAATAAAATTAAAATCATATTGCTATCAATATTGATACAACATAGCATAGCAGACTAATATGATTTATTAGATGATAGTACGCTTTATCGTATGTCTTATAATTTGATAAATCTCTTTTGACTTCATTGACCATATTGATTTTATTATTGAATTTTGAGATTTTTATTGCTTATATTAAGTGATGTTTGATATTGATTATACTGAAAAATATATATTAATTATTTTGCTTTGTATTGAAAACAGTGATAGAGTTTTTGTTACCTACTAGAGTTTTTAACTCATTATGCGGACTTTAATAATTCCATATCAGGGAAGGGGTCAGGATCATATGCAATAATACTGATAACAATCTTCAGGTTCTTTAGGTTTTGTTCTTCATTTTCTTTTAGGGAGATTTACATGCATACCACTTTATACTATTCTATTTACATATTTAACACCTAAACTTTAATATTACATACATGCCACCTATAATTCATTTTTATATGAAATATGAGTGGTAGAAATGAAATATATGAGTGGTATAGGAAGGAAATATGGGTGGTATATTTGATATTAAAATAATATAGCGTGGTATTTATGTAATATTAAAGTTTTTGGTGTTAGATATTTAAATATAATGTTATAAAGTGCTATGTATGTAAATTTCCCTTTTATTCTTTTGTAGTTAGGAGCTTGTGATAGATTAGTGATTATAGTGATCTTATGGCTAATATAAATGACATTTTGATGAAGGAATAGTAAAAATATTTTGATGTATATGATTTTAGTTACTTTCGCTGGTTATTATTTATATTGATGATTTATAGAAGCTTAAGTATATTTTAAAATGATAAATAGGCAATTCTTCCAAATTTGATTTTTGGAGGGTTATAGGATCATAGTCGAGCAATAATGATTGAAGGACCGCAATTTAACAATAGTGGTTGAAGGATATCAATTAGGCAAGATAATCTAAAGATGAAAGCTTGGCCATGGTGGTTGGGAGACTATTGTTGGACATAGATGGTCGAAGGACCGTACTCTGGTGCCAGTGTTTGGATAATCATATTTGGGCGATAATAGTCGGGAGACCATATTTGGTTGATGGTGTTAGAGAATCAAAATCAAGTGATAATAAAAAAAAAAAGGATTATAGTCAAAAGACGATGAGCAAGGGTTGAATGGCAATGGTCTAATGATGATGATTAAATTATGATAGTTTGATAGCCATAGTCAAATGATGGTGTTTTGATGATGATTGTTAAAATAGTGATTTAATGTCTATGACCACATGAAAGTGGTCTAATGTTATTAGTTTATAGGTGATTGTTTGTCGATGGTGGTTCATCGACAATAGGTAAATAATTGTGGTCCAATAAAGCTCCAAGATTCTTGAAGCCCTTAAGCTCTTTTAAATTTCAAGCCTGTTGTCCTTTTCATGCTCAAAATGGTGATTTATATATAATTTTTTAGATTAGCATGCTTCACAATTATAGACAAATTCCAAAACACTCAATCAATGACCCAAAAATTAAAAAATAAAAATGAGCCCTAAGGATTCCTTATATATATTTTTTAGGATTGGCTTGATAATAAAGAAGTTGAAAACACAATGTTTTGTTTTTTTTGTTTTTTTGCTAACAAAGTTGCTTGTTACATAACTCTACAGCAAAAAAATCGAGCTAAACAAATCATGGTTTAATATCATAGAGAGTTCACAGATATACTATAAATTTTCATACTTATACCAAGCCATCCTATTAGACTCTTACACAACACAACTTCAAAATTATGGTGAAATACAAATAAAAGTTTAGTAGAATCTAATGATGAAAAAACCATTGTTTTAAACTTAAAAAACCGATCAATTCTTCTTTTGTTTATTGAAACAAACTACATCATCTTTTCATGACAACATTGTTGTAAGGGTACTAAGTGAATCAAGCCAGCTAGAGCTCAGACATGATAACGAACTCGCAAGTCAAATATCTCGAGCCAAAAGTTCGACTTCAAGCTTAAATTCGAGTTCATACATTACATGAGCTTATCGAGCCAGCTCAAATGATATCAATTGACACATTAACATTTGCATGAGCCTACTCCAAATTCAAAATAAGAAATCTACACAAAAAAAATAACTAAAAATCAATCAGTTTAACTGAACTTGTACTTGAATTAATACCTAAATAGCTTAAATCATGTCATATCCAGCTGAAATAATAGAACAAATACACACAAAAATTTCTAAAACACTTCTCATAAACATTATTCCTGCTTTAAATAAGAAAAAAGGAACAGAAAAGCTGTTTGAAAATAAGTGCAAGATAAAAAGGTTAATCATATATGAACTTCTGCTGAAGTTAATCATGATTAAGCATCAGCTAAAAAAATCACAAAACCACACATCTAAACTGAACAGATAACAGTTTAGTGTTTGTGGACATAATAGACTAATAAACAAACCACTACACAATCACCATAAACAACTATTATTTTCTTTTGCTTGTAGGTTGGCTACTGCCTTCACTTTCTGTATAAAAAGCAACTGTACAGTAACAGATCAACACGCTAAGTTAATGCTGCTAACCCAATAACTTCGTCTTCTTCACTTTTGCGAGGAGCTGTAGTTGAACTTCGGCTTCTTGCTGACATTTTAAGAGGATAAATCTGAATTAAAAGAGATAAACTTGAATAGACACAAGTTCATTTTTGTCATCCTGAAGTTTGCAGGATGAGATTTATTATGATATAGGGGCCTTACAAATTGGCATCAGCAGATAATGGTGCAGATTATCTATACTTATGATGATAACTATGGATATGCGTTGTAAAATTCCAGCCATCTGGATTGAATCCATCTTCTTTTTTAAAAATCTCTAATTTTGATGGATTTAATCGATGACTAGAATTGATAACTGCACCTCTATGGTTATCAACTTATCATGTTAACCGCAGAGGTGCAGCATTGTAGACAATCTGCACCCCTGAGACACCATATAAACAAGGATTCATGCTTCATGTAGCATGCATAATTGTTTTCATTTCATGCATGTGAATTCAATAAGCATTCATGTAGATATTTAAGCTTCATTTGGAACAGGTTTTGTTATGCTTCCCAAAAATAACTTTCTAGTATAAATTTTTTAATTCAAGAAATTATTGTACTAAAAAGTTGTTTTAGAAAGCAACAAAAAAAACTATCCCAAGCGAAGCCTTAGTTGAACAATGTAGAGTTATGGCTGCTTTTTTATTAAATGGAAAGATTGGTTTTACCTACAATCAATCAAAGAGCGCATGATGATCTATGCTAACCTTCATAGATGTATACAAGTATATCATCTATCAATCAGATAAAAGAGAATTGAAATTCCTCATGCAATAAAACAAGTTCTTCTAAAATCAAATTACCGACCAATCAGTTATAGAGTAGATTAATCACTGCTTTCACGCACAGAAGCAAAACATTGAGGAGCGAGTGCTCGACTGCTCTCAGAAAATTATAAGCTCTACATATAATATCAAATGTTTTTTTTTTCTAATATTTATGATAGAAAATATAAAATGAACAACGAGAAAATTGATGCAAGTGGAACAAGAAAGAAGAGTAAAAGTAATCAGCAAAATCTAGACTGGAGTACATTATTCCAAAATGTGAAACCTGGAACATTCTATGACTACCACATCATATAGCACAATTTTGAATTTGAATAAAAATACATTTAATAGCTACCAATTACATGACACATGACATAATTATGATTTTAAAGCTACACCTATCTTAGTTAACAATCAAATCATGCATGTCCTTTACTTTTAATTTTGAATGTCGCTGTTGGCTCAAGAAAGACGGCACAAACGCATATATCCCGCTTTACAGACAAAGGATTCCATCCTCCTTGCGTCAGATTGTAGTTAATCATATTTCCCCCGAAGGTAGTGTTAGAGTTTAATTAGATCTGGGGTTCTTATTTCTCATAAGTGCAAGCAATCATAATTAATTACCGCTCTTAACACATAAGAGAAAACTTTCGATTAAAGATGAATAATTTTTACGTGTTTAATCTCAATTGTGGGGGAAATGGAGGTAAATTCGATCAAGATCTCATAGTTCCTTATCACCCTCTTCTTTTTGTTTCCTATATTTTTATATCGATTAAATTGCTTATTGAGTGTGTTGTTTCTTGAAGAGACGCGACGACCGCTTTCTTTCTCCTTGTTTTTCGAGGTTTTTTTTTTATTCGGTTAGCAAACACCTGAAAGGATTTTGATCTAGAAAAGTACAACTATGAACTATGTCAATTAATATTTAACTCACATCATGATTGTTATTACTTTTAAATTTAAATTCACATTTATACTTACTTAATATTCAACTATTTTAACTAAGTGCATATAGGGATACTTACAAGCATATCACCCAAATCAATGGATTTACATATATAACATCCAAGCAAAAGTTTTAAACTAGCAACTCCATAAATTTACATGCGCTGTGTGAGGTTAATCGTTGGAAATTTAACAAAATATTGTGAATGAAAACATGTAATTTTGTTGACAGTTATGACATACTGAGAAAATTTGAAGAATGGAGGTAGGAGGATGTTTGTTGGCATTTTTCATATAAATATGGTATTAATATAAAACTTAAATTAATATATATTTTAATCAAAATTACTTGCTCAACATTAATTCACTTTAGCTCAAATTGGGGCTTTCATAAGACAACAAACAATTTAGCTTCATTTTTACCATGAGTATTGCTACACTAAGAAAAAATTTATACAAAATCATGTTGACCTAACTTTTTTAGTTGAGCTAATCATGTTTGGGAATATTATCGACTTTTGCTTGGTAAGAATTTTTATTAATCCGCCTAATCAAGCGTAGATATCGCATGATTTTTTCTTTAGGTTTTTAGACAGTACAACATTTCTTTTCTTTTTTTTTTTTTTTTTAGAACATTTACTTTGTGTTACAGGTGCAGCAACTAGATAGAAATGTGGTTCCTTGACTATCTATTCCGTACATGCAACAAGAAGGCAAAGTCGGATGCTGGGCTATCCACCCAGTCAATTGAGTTGGCAACTTAATCGAAGCACCAAGCATCGAAATAATTTGTACTAGCTAGGATGTAAACTAAGTACTTTTGTCAATATGTACATATTATGAATAATCCTAGAAAGGACATATGCTGATTTTGCCTTTAATACAATAGAGATTTACATTTAATTTTTGCCTCTGTTGAGAATAGGTGCTGAGAGCTGAATTCATTAATAATTGGCTTCCTATATTTTCATTTAACAATAAAATGACTTAGCTTTGCATGTTTCTTTGCAAACTCGACCCTCAAAACAAAAGTTTCCGTTTTATACTAGAAGTTCTTTTTTCAGTAAAGCCTACATGCACATACATGTATCAGAATAGTGGTCGAAAGCATATGCCAAAATCTCCATTTAGAGAGAAGTCAAATATGTTCAGATTTTCATCGCAACATCCAAATTGCTCTCTTCTATTTTTATTTATTGTTGGTTACTTGTGAATATAATTGATAAAAGAACATATTCTATAGCGATTAGCCAAAGTAATCCTCAACAAAGTGAGCTATAGTAATTGATTATTTTTTCTTTACTTTTTAAGCAAGAGAGGCACACTTCTTGAGAGGAGGTTAACTTGAGAACTTCATTTCTCATGGTGGTGTTGGTTGTGGGAACAAGAACAGTTTGCTCACCTGTGATTTGTGCAACAACAAGCAAGCTCAACATATTCTTGAGAAATAATGAGAGTTTTTTAACAGTCTAACACTACTAAGATTGTGAGATTGCCGAACGGGTCATTGTTCGGCAACGGCTTGGAGGCCTTTGTTGAGCATATGAGCCATAGCTGCCAGAAATTCTCTCCTTAACCTAGATCAAAGGTCAACAAAGGGAGGTGAAATTTATCAGAAAATTGCAGGAACATGGGATCTTCAAACTTCTGTTGGAACAAAGATCAACAAAACATGGAAGCCTTCAAACTTTTTTTGGCTTCTACATGTGAGTGCCAAGGAGCAGATGAGGGAAAGCAGAACAAATTCATACTTATGTTTCAGTATGATGATGGACCTAGACTCAATATAGTCAATTGTTGGGTGATATGAATTAAAGGTTGTTGGACTAAAGGTAGTCTAAGAAGCGCAACTATAGGAACAAGCCATCATGAGAGTGGGGAAGCAGTAGACTCGGGCGCTAGAAAGAAGAGAAAAGCGTGAACAACACCTTTGTGATAGCAATGGGGGTTGTCATAGTAAAGTGTTCAACAGATTCACATATAGCGGTGCAAGAAGATTCATAAGTTAAGGGGAGTCAAAATTGAGACAAGTTGACAAGCCTCTGGATAAAAGCTGAGTGAGTACAAAAACATTGGGAAGACTGAGTTCGAAGTTAAGGGCTTCTAAAAGCATCAACTGCATGCTTAGAGATTTAGCAACGTCAATGAAAGAAAGAAAGAGAGTGAGTGTGTGATGAGGACATCGTTCAGAGATTCAGACATGTGTACCGGCGACGGAATCGTAAATCGACGGCTACGATTTAAAGTCTTTATTTTTTATGTATTTTATGTTTTATTTAGTTTGCATTTCAGTTTTCCTAGTTTACCCCTACAAGGAGTGTTTTCTTATTGTAACCCAAAGAGCATTTGAGTATTTTTCTTTTCTTTATGTTTGAGACCTATATATAGCAGTTTTATGCTTTGTAAAAGGTAAATAAAGATTTGAATGAAAAATTGTTGTTTGTCTTCTTCTTGTGTGTGCACTAGAGAGAAGAGGGAGTCCAAGTAATGGCAAGCGCAATACCCACAAGTCATTGGAAAAGTCTGTGGCTCATGGTTTATCTTCCTTTCTCTTTTCTTCTTCCTCACCCGCCGGCTTCTCCTTTCCCTTCCACCGTCGGCCTACCTTCAAACTCCCTCCCCTAAACCCAACTAAATTCTAACTCCCAAAACCCCCACCCGCCGGCTCAACCCCTTTCCCCACCTCAACCCGACGCCAACTCCCCTGCCTCTTCCCCTTGCCGTCGGCCACACTCTTGCTCCACATCATTATGGTGATTCCAATCATCTTAATGACTCCCTAAATTGGCTCAAGCAAGAAAGGAATGTGTTTTTTTTTTTTAATTTAAATTTGAATTTAAAAAACTTTCCATATTTGCAAATTTTAAATAAGGAAAGTTTTAAATTTAAATCCAATCTAAATTAAATTTAGAAAGGATTTATTATTCTTCTTCCTAATTTGCAAAGGCTTGTTTGGAAGTTTTTAAAAACCTCACCAATCCTCTCCCTCCTCTCATAATGCCGCCGGCCCCCATTAATGGGCTTCCCCATTGTTTTTCCTATTGAGACCCTAAACCATAATTGAATTTGAATTCAACTTTCAAATTCAATTCCCTCCAAATCTACTTAAATCTGAAATTAATTTTAGATTTATTGAAACCCTCTCTCCAAACCCGAACCTAACTTAATCCACACAAGCCACTCCCTCCTCTTTGGCTGCCCCCTTCATCTCCCATCATCCCTCTTGGAAACCCTAGATCTCTCATGAGCTTTGGAGCCAAGAAAAGAAGACAAACGCCTCCTCCCATTCTCCCATCGGTGCATGGCTAACCCTGAGGTCGACCACGGATTCGCCTACAACGCACAAGGAGAAATCGATATATTGCTCTCTCCTTTCTTTGATCCGGATTGGGATTACGAAGATTCGGTGGAAAGTTACGTCAACCGCATCCTTTATTACCTCACCGAGATGATTGAAGATCAACAACCCAAGGGACATTGGCAACTCGTCGGCCGATCAACAACCTCTTCTCCTCTGGCTACTTCTCTGCCGAACAAGACCTTACGCGCCACTTGTCTCGTGATGGCATCATTAGGGTTGCTTCTACTGTTCCCCTGCTAAACCCAACTTCAAGATCGAGTGAGAAGGAATTCATGGCGAATAGTTCTTCATGTTACGCCGTGGATTTTTGTTTCATTGCTATTAGCCTTACTGTATAGTTTTCATTGTTATTCTCGTTGTAATCACTTGCTATTACTTAATCTTCTAACGGAAAATTTTTAAGAATTCTACATGGTGAAACATAAGTTTTTAACTAACAAAGTTAATGTTCAATCTACTGTTAATTTCCAAAGACAACTCTTGTCGCTTGTATATTTCACATCAGCGTGACAATGAGCATAAGATATTGGGATGAGGCCTAATGATTTTGTGCTCAAGGAAAACATGATGACAATGTAGGGAGGCCGCAGTTCGCAGGGCTGGTGGTTGGCACCCCAAGATCCACATAGGTAACTGGAGGCTCGCTAATGTGCGGGTATTGCGAGGGGTGTGCACTACAAACAGAGTAGGCAAAGCCTAGAAGTGATGCATAGATGGGCCAAATTGCGTGAAGGGGAGATCCAATGCTATTCAATTTTCTCTTCTTTTTTAAGAGCGAAGACATTCAATTCATCAACCCAATGTGTGGGTTAGCCCAAGTAATAAACTCAGAATTGAGTACAAAGCTTAGTCTTAGTATATTATCCCAATGCTTGGTTTAAATCGATCTAAGCCGAAATGTTGTTGTTAACATGAAAGGCTTGAAAAAGAGGCATTAATTTAGATAGAATTACAAACAGATGATGATGATGACAGTCATGCCAAATAAAAGTATTAGCATGCATATAGAATGCCTTCTATACCACATCAGTCATTCTATTATCACTATTCGCACTTCCACATGCTTTTCTTGATGGATTATGCTCCAATATCACAGGATATTCAAACACGGCGCCAAAGCTCCCAAACTTGTGGATCATTAGAAATTCAGGTTGGGAGTGTTTCATAAAAATGAGTAAACTGTTTACTCAGATGCATTTCACAATTTCATATTAAGAAAATTACGTATAAATTACATTGCAGACGTCTTCAATTGTACAAGGATGGATAAAACACATACCTGTAACATTGGTTATGACGTTCGTACTCTTTTGAGAAGCAAGAGCTCTCAACTTGTTTCCAGAAGCCAACTGAAGCAAACTTCTCATATGCAGCTTTTGTTCTTTGGGGCTACTAGTTTTACTCAGAGCATCCTCAAAAGCAACTAAATCCTCCTCTGTAAGGCAAGGAAGGGATAACAGAATCTGTTTATAAGAAAAATAACCTATTAGCATCAAGAAAAATTCCACTCAATAAGCAAATTTGCAAACTTGTTCGGAAGTCGAGCCAAAATAATTTTATTGTCAACTCACCTGTCTTGGAGAAGAGTCTCTGTTTGACATATAAACATATATTTCACGACAAAGACCAACAAGATCTGAACTGATGACTGCATTCGATTCTAAGAAAAGTCCTTGAAGTATGGCATAAAATAAATCCTTCACAACAAACTCCCTGAGTTCCACATTATCAGCTGAAATAGCAAGAAGGATAATAGCTCCACAGAAGGCTGCAACTTTAGCAACAGCTTCACCATCAGTCCAAGTGAATGCTTCAATGCATATTCTCAAGGCTGGAAGAGCAAGGCTTTTATGTGTCATGAGAAATCTGCAAGTGAAGCAATATACTTAGGTTTATTTCAATAGGCTGACTTGAATCACACAGAAAAACAATAAACGTTACAAGCAAAAGATGCACAATTTTTGTTATCTATGCCATACCCCATCATAGAATTTGTAGAGAATGCATCCAATGAATTGTGCAAAGATGACTCGGTGTTGTTGACATTTCCAAGTTGTTCCAAAGAAGGAAGCCCACCATTTAGAGCAGGCGAAGCTAAAATTGAGAAAAGATTACATATTTCCCGAGTCAAATCACGCAGCAACTTCTCTTCCATTACCTCTAACTTTAGCTCCATTCCAGAAAGACTAATAAAGGTGTCAGGAACCTTTGCTCTACCCTCATGAATGAGACTAGACCATGAGGAAGAAAGAGCCTGCTGACAGTGGAGGAACAACGGATGAAGCAAGTTTTCCAGCCAGACAGCCCTTAAATCTGCAGGGCATAACTTTACTATAGGTACAAGGACCAAGTGAATCAGTTGGCGAATGTGTCTGAAGTCCATTGATTGTACATTCTCCATAAGCGACGTGGTAAGAAGAGAACAGTCCAATCCACGGAAAAAGCAATCTCCAATATTTGCCGAAAGTCCTATGACGTTATACCTAAAATGATACAAGACACGTTAGCTTTTATTCTATAGCAAAGAAGAAGAAAATTTAGCCAACTATAAGATGAAAATTTCAAAAGACTACACAGAAGTGATGCTGAAACATACAAAACCACAAATCATATTTTATCTATATCCTAACAGATAATCTTTATAACCACCACACAAGTCTGAAAGTTTCCAATCAACAATAACTCCTATTCAAGAAACGTTTTCTTAGATTAATAAATCAAATTGTAATATTTGGAACTTCCGAATAAAAATATCACTTAGAGCAAAGAAATAAAATTCCTGTAACTACCTTCCATAAATTCATTATTTGAGTTTAACGACTAGTTCTCTTGTATAGATAATAGCTTTAGGGAGTAACTTAACCATGCATTTCTATTTCCTAGATGATGCCTAAAGACAATATTTGTTGTCAGAGTTCAAATTTTTTTGCTGAATCCCAAGTATTGCGGAGTTGTTGATGTAAAATCTCACAATTTAATTGCTCAATTTACCCTTCATGTGATCTACAAGGAATCTGAAATCATCCCACTAAGAAAGGAATCTGAAATCATCCCACAAAGAGCATCAGACCCGCCTCACCATAAACTAGACCATGAGAGAGAGCACAGTCTACTGCAGCAAGGAATACAAAAAACTTGCATATGCTGATGTAAATCACAGCAGGACAAACATACCCACTATCTCTGATACCTTTCAGCCAGTTTCTAATGTCGTTTTCATTGAGATTTTCTTCCCCGTGTATGTCAATTTGAGATCCATCCGCATGTGTAAGCTGACCTTTGGGCAGTTTCAAACTGCTCTCGCCAAGAAGGCTAGCCTGCTCAACGTGGCTCATGCTTTTAGATCCTCTTAGCTCTCCTGCTAATGCTTGAGCAATCCTTGGCGACCAAAGAGAATGAATGTTACGAAGAAGCTGGAGAGTGTAGATGAAGAATTGTTTTAAAAAAAACTAATTAATAAACTGCATCAGTGAAATCAATGATTTGAACTGCTTAAAAATGATAGTCTTAAACTCAGCTTCAAAATTCTAGATACATTTACTCAGAACCTACTCTGAACAGAGGGGGTAACATCCATGCCAGATGAATAGACATAGGGTGAGGACAATTGGAACCATCCGCTACTGATGAAGAACCTTGAGGATTCCAATTAGCTTTATTATATCCACTCCTTTTAAGGGCCTTTTCAAAGAATGTTACTGTATGAAAAATATTCCACATAAATTGTGGGTCTGAACACAACAATTTCAGACCTAATGGGTCAGACAAGTAGGCATTTTGCCATTCCAACTCGATCCATTGTTTGCTCAGAGGCTCGAGTAGCCAGGCCAAGACCTCTTGTTGCTGCTGAATTCTAGAAAGCAATCAAGATTCAAAAAAGGTAAGAAAGGCAAGCTTTTGTTAAAAAGTCAAGGATAGCGGAAAAAAGAGCAAATGAGAGAGGACAAGATTAGAAGAAAAGAAAATAGTCACAGTTATGTACCCAGAAGAGGACGCCATAACAAGAAATGCTTCCCCTAAAAGATTATGTTCACCACGGAGCAAGCGACCCTGTGCTTGAAGCAATGCCATCGTATCAGCAATACCCTGAAAAATTATCAGGCTATTAGTAAGCAAGCATGTTTTCTTTTTGGTGGATGAGGTGGACATCAACCTCAGTTTAAGCATTTTCCCTGATAAAAGGTGTAATGATGATAACTAAAATGTAACATGTATTCAAAAAAAAAAAAAAGGGAACCAGTCCGCTACATAACCCAAACTAGTCCTGGGCTACACCATTTAAACCGCATTTCAACTGCTATTAAGGAATCGGGTCTAGTATAATGCACATTATTTCTCTAGCCACTGAATTTCTCCGCTACCTAACCCAAACTTAGTCCTAGGCTACACCAAAAAAAACTAAAACTTGTTCCAAGTTTAGATAGGAGTGACCATCAAATCATATGGAGGTTGCTAATAAAGGACACCTTTTTTATTGGGAGAATTAAGGTAGTACAAGAGAAGCTTTATGGTTTCTGGATGGAAGAGTAATTAGGGTTTCTAGGTGGAATAGTACAAAGATTTTGATAGGAGTAAATTAAGATTTTCAATTAAGGGAATACTATTTAGTATATTGAAGTGGGGGAGTAAGCTCCCAAATAGAAACAATGCGAAGAGTAATCTCATAAATATTGAGAGAATGCTAAATCTCAAGCAAGGTGGATAAAAAGAGAGATTGGATCTCATGAGTAGAGTGCAAGCTTGTGAGAGGGAGAGAGGAATAAAAGATAGTGACAGAAGGAATAAAAATCAATCAAATTCCACAAGTAATTGATTCACCTACTTCTTAAACTATGATAAAAGAGAACTGAAAAAGTTTCTACAATCTACTTTTATTCATATTTCACAATTCACATAAGGAATATCCATTAAAAGAGATTTTACGTTGAAACAAGATGGAATTTATCCAACTGACCATGGGATATCTAGAAAATTAGGAAAAAATATCTCTAGACCCTAATAACAATAGCCAACAATGTATATAAACATCATACATTCAAAGGATGCCAGATGAAATGTTCATCACATGGTGTAGCCTTTTATGCATACATGCAATGCAACCCTTCATGTAGTACTTATGTGGGAATAGCTTTACATTAAGACAATTTAATTAGCTAACCTTGAGACAGCCTACCATAGGTCTATAGTTTTGATGTGTTCATCAATCAGAGTAGTGCCTTCTAGAAGATTCTCATGCGGAAACCCCTTAAATTTCAAAGGTTCAATCCTCCTCAATCTTTTTTTCTTTTTTTTCGCGTGACTTCTAGGTGTGCTGCCGTTATTCTGCCACTTTTTGCTTCTTTTTACCTTTTGCTTTAATTCTAGTTACATGCCAAATTGATGAATCTGTTGTTGCCTGTTTTACTTGCACAAATCAGCTAAAAGTTTCTACCGGCTTTTCTTAAGTAGGTGCTACTACCCATTTACTCAAAATGATCATTTCTCACACTAACATGATTTTAGCATCCATTTAATATGATCAATTTTAATTTTTCATCATAATTACACCAAGCATCCACCTCAACATTCTCATTTGTATCACAACCAAGTTGATTATAAATGACTTCTATGATGCCCAACACTTTATTGCATGAATATAGTTAATGTAACTATAGATCTAAAATTTTTAGTTCAAGTATGAATCATATTCTTCTTCAGCATGATACACCTAAGACTCTTTTTTATTTTACTCATCTAGCTTTTCATTTGGTTATCCCCTCCCTAGTTAAATCCATATGCTTCTATATAGTATATTTTAAGCTACTAACTTATAATATTTAGTTTCCTCTTATCTTTCAACACTAGTGAATGAAGATCATCAATGATAAATGAGCTTAATGGGATACCTTTTATGTTTTCAGTCTTCACTCTACTAATTTTAAGCTCCTTTTTTTTTTCCAAAAATTCCTTTATTTTACCAGCTTTTTACCTCTTTTCTTTCTAAATATGCATACAAGATTGCATTAGTCCTAAATCTACTTCAAGTGACCTTTTCATCATGCTTATGTCATTACAGAACTAACATAAATAGCTTTGGCAGTTCCGCCATTTTTTTCAATAGAATAAACTAAATTTTGAAGCTTTAGCGAAACCATCTGATGAGGACATCGACAGACGCTACCAAAAAGTTTATTGAAGAAGGAATCGCAAATCTACGACTACGATTCAGCGCCTTTACTTTTGATGCATTTCTTCATGTTATGTTTATTTAGTTTTGTTGTTTTCTGAATTTACCCCTTTGGGGAATTGTCTTGTTATTGTAGCCCAGAGGGCAATTGCGTACTTTTCCTTTTTCATGATTGAAACATATATATATATATATATAGTGGTCTAATGTGTTGAAAGGATTTTGATGATTGATTAATAAAAAATTTCCTGTGTTTCTTCTTCTTCTTGTGTGAGCGCTAGAGAGAAGGGAGAGAGAGCTCAATGTGAGCAAGCGCAATACCCACCAGTCATTGGAAGGGTCCACATCTCATAGTTAGTTTATTTCTATCTTATTTGTGTTTTTCTCCTCTTCCTTTCCCCACTCCACCGGCCGGCCCCTCCTTGGCCCTCCACCACCGGTTGCTTAACCCCCTCCACCCAATTCCTCTCCTAGCTCCATCACCTCAAGCCCACCCGTCACCCAAGCCCACCCAAGCCGACGCCTAGCCACCCCCTCCCCCTTTACCGCCGCCCCTCACATGGCTTCCCACCATTATGATGACTCCAAACATCATTATGGCTCCCTAGATTGAATCAAGAAAGATAGGAAGGTTCTCAATTATTTGAAATTCAAATTTGAATTTCAAAAACTTTCCTAATTTGCAAAACTCCAAATAAGACAAGTCTTAAATTTCAATCCGATCTAAATTTAAATTAGAGAGGATTGTTTATTCTCTTTCTAATGTGAAACTACTAGGAGTTACCTTTAGAAATTATAAGACAATTGAATAAAGCTTTGCTCATGAAAATTTACCACTAGCACATAAAAGAAGATTATGAATATAAAGTAATCAATTTGCTTAGGCCAAAGAAGTGCAATAGAAATTAACCAAACAATTCCTTCAAAGTTCAAGGCAAGAATAAATGCTAAGTACACATAACATAATCCAACGTTTAATAACGAGAGGTTCACCTCGAGGGCCTTCTCACTCAACTACTTGTAGGCTTTAGCGGAGAAAGATGAACCATACGAAGAAAGATATTACCACTAGGAAGATCGCGCTGAAGACCTTCGTTGGTGGAGCGGTAGCCGGTGGAGATGAGGGTGGTGGGTGGCCGACAAGGATCCAATCGTAGTCTTGGAATTGATTGTCGATGACGTCCACGAGAGTAGGAAGAATGCGGTTCAAATAGTCTTCAACAGTGTCGTCGGGGCCAAAACCGACGTCGAAGAACGGTGAACGAGTAATATGGATGTCGCCGTAGACGTCAAATAACAATCCGCCCTCAAGTTCAGGATCGGCCATATGTCATTGACGTGGAGTCGGAAAGGCGTTGTCTTCTTCTTCTCTTGGCTTCAAAATTCACAAGGGAAGGAGCAATGAGAGAGGCAGCCAAGGTAGAGAGAGAGGGGGGGTGACTTGGGCAAGGGAATTTAGGTTAGGTGGGAGAGAATGAGATTGACTCAAATCTGAAATTAACTTCAGAATTTGATTAAATTAGGAGGGAATCAATTTGGGATTTGAATTTCAAATCGATTGTAATCAATGCCATAAAGTAGCATTAATTAGGATTTAGCCCTAGCATGGCCGGCAGCATAGAGAAGGAAGGAGAGGGAGTTAATTCACAAATCTGAAATTAATTTCAGGATTAAGCAAATTGGAGGGAGGGAATTTGAATTTGGATTTTTTTAAATCAAGAGCCTTGAATGCATTAATGGAGCATTAAAGGGGATTTAACCCTCATAGGGCCGACGGCATTGTGAGAGGGAGAGGAGTGATTAGGGAGAGTAATTGGAAAGGAGTTTGAAACTTATGGGGGGAAAATAATGAGTCACTCAATTAGATTCCATTCGAATTTTGAATTCGAAAATCTTCCTTATTTGGACGTTTGCAAATAAGTTTTTGAATTTGAAATTTGAATTTCAAAATTCAGTAACTCTTGCATTTAATGCTACACTTCAATCAAGGAGCCATTATGATGATTGATATCATCCTCATGGTTTGAGGCAAGATGGTGGCCGGCGGCCAAAAGAAGGAGGGGCTTTGTCGTCTGGTGAGGGGGTTTGGCAATTGGTAGGATTTGATGTGGTGATGCTAGTGGATGAAGTGGTGGAGGATTGAATCACGGGTAGAGATTGGCGTGGGGAGGAGGAAAACAAGAGTTGGAGAAGAATACAAAAAGATAAAATAAAGCCACGAGTCGCGGACGCTTCCAACGACTGGTGGGTAATGCACTCGCTCACCTTGAGCTCAATCGCCCTTCTCTAGCTCTCATGCAAGAAGAAGAAGACAAACATAAAATTTTCATTCAAATATTCATTAACCCATTACAACATATGAGACCACTATATATAGGTCTCCACTCATGAAAAGAAAAAAAAAAAACGAAATTGCCCCCTGGGCTACAATGACAAACAACTCCCCAAAGGGGTAAAAATGAAAAAAAGCAAATAACTAAATAATACATCATGAAATCTGAATCAAAAGTAGAGGCGCTGAATCGTGGCCATAGATCTGTGATTCCTTCGTCGATAAACATTTCGGTAGCGTCTGTCGATGTCCTCATCACTTTCCTATTTGGCAAACCTTGTTTGGAAACTTCTTAAAATCCTCCCCATACTCCTCTCCTGATACCGCCGGCCTCCCTATTAATGGGCTAATTCCTATTGCTTCCAATTAAGGCTCTATCCCAATTTAATTTGAATTCAAAATTCAAATTAAAACTCGTCAAATCCACTTAAAAATCTAAAATTACTTTCATATTTGGTTAAATTATTCGCTCCCCCTTTCCTAACCTAACCCAAACTCCTCATCCAAGCCGCCCCCTTCCCCTTCTCCCTACCTTGGCCACCCCCTTCCCTTGTATCCCCTCTCTTGGGAAAACCTAGTTTGCTCATGAAACTTGAAGCCAAGCAACGACGACGACCTCCTCTTCCAATCTCATCGTTGGTGCATGGCCGACCCTAAGGTCGACCTCGGATTTATCTTCGACGAGCAAAGAAGGACGAATATTCTTGGGTCCCCATTCTTTGACGTCTTTTTTGGCAACGACGAAACTGTGGAAGGATACATCGACCGCATCTTGTACCAACTAACATTATCGATTGAAGAGCACCTTCAACCGGATCGTTGGATAATCATTGGACACCCACCGCCTCCTCCACCGCAGGCTAATTCTCCTTTAACGAAGGTCCTCGGCGCCGTCTTCCTAGTGGTAATATCATTCTTCGTATGATTCGTTTTCTCCGCTAAAGCTTAAGAGTGATTGAGTGAAAAGGTACTAAAGGTGAACCTCTCGTTGTTAAGTGATGGACTATGTTATGTGTACTTTGTATTTACTATTGTCTTGAATTTTGATTGATTGTTCGGTTAATATCAAACGCTCTTCTTTGGTCTAAGCAAGTGAAGACTTTGAATTCCCAACTCTTCTTTATTTGTAAGCAAGAATTTTCATTAGCAAGTTTTAATCAATTGTTCCTTTTAATTTCGCGAGTAACTCCTAGTGGTATCACATCACCATCAATGTAGGAAGCATGCTTTCATACAGAAGAATTATACATAACAGTATTGTCAAATGTAGGTGAGCTTATCAATAGCTCCACTTCTGCGTATATAGCAATTCACAAAATTCTTTAGTTACAATGGTTAAATACAACTTTTGATAATTTCCAGTGAGGAATACCTAAGGCATTTACCTTCATAAGAGGGAGAAGGCTTTCGTGAGCAGATTTGGCAATCCGAATAAATGATGTACATACTTGTAATCTAGCATGACGAGCAATGTTTGAGGGGCCCTGTCCATGCAATGGGTGAAAACAGAAGATAGCTGGCTATTGATAATCTTAACACAATAAAGAAAATTATGCAAAAACCTTAACCGTCAATGGAAGAGATGTCAACAGTTCAAAAAGCTTATTGACAACAGGAGCAATTGAATCAGGATAAATTTTCAAATAGTGGCCCAACGAATCCAGATAATGTGCTAATAATACATTAAGTGATGGTTCAGTCCATTTTTTTGAAAGAAGCTTCTGAAGCAGACCTGAAAACACACAAAAAACTAGATTCAGTATGTTTCTGTGCATAGCATTAAAAGTTATAAGGAAAGCTAGATTACAAAATGGCAACCTTCTAGAATCCCATGCAATTGGAACTTGATTTCAGATGTATAGTTATTTAATTCAGTGGGTCCTTCAAATATTGCACTCACAATGGCTTCCAGTCCAGGTTGCAAGCTTTCCAACAAAGCCACCGCCTAAATTTCAAAAGTAATCATCATCAATAGCCTTAACACAACTATTCACAAGTATGATTTAAATAAATGTAGGGAAGTATATGACTTCGTTGATCTGAAAACTCTGAATTGGATTGTCATGAAAGTGAAAGCAGCACAAAGTTGGCTGTAGTTTAGATATTAAACCTCAGAGTGTATGGTTGTCTTGGCAAAGTTCATCAAAACCATATCAAGTCTATGTGAAATCCTAACTGCAGCTAGTACTGGCTTTTGAGAAGCAACAAGCTTGATAAGCTCCAACTGCATTAAAATATATATATATAGACATTGAAGCATTTCAATGGAAAAACCATAAGTGTACAGACTACAGGTATTGCCAAAAAAGCCTTGCGTGAAGAATGTCAACATCATCAGACTAAGCAAACAAACAAAACAAAACAAAAAAATAGAAGAAAAACAACCTTCAACTTCACCAATCTTTCAAACAACAAAGCACATCACTATTTGAATTCAGGAGTTAAGATCATGAATACCCAAAAATTATAGCTTGGAATAAATCTACAGTCATTAATTAAAAAGTTACACGCCTACTTTTATCCAGTTAACTAAAAAATAGTACAATCTTTGCTTTTATTGCTCTTCAACTTGTCTCTGCTTGCATATGTAAAATGTATAAGGCACAAGAAGAATAATCACTTTTATGGTCCATGGATACCACACATTAAAGCTAAATTTAAGACGATTAACTTCAATTTATTATCTTCCTCCTTTCTATTGATGATCCACTTTCACAATGCCTACTTTCACGCTGCAGCATTGGAAGAACTATCAATTCTCCATATCAAATTTACCAAGGGTAATTAGTGTGAATCCAAAAATTAGCGCCCTTGCTCTGCTGAGAGAGTTTGGGTGATCCACGTCAAATTTTCAAAAAGCGTATCATATTAGGATAACACACTGCATAGATATTTCGCCCTTCTCACTCAAATTTTCTGGCCAGTAATTTTTATTTTTCTATTTTTCTTTTTATTTAGAAATTCAATCAATTTTTTATTATAAATAGAAGGCATGAGGCACGACAAAGAACAATTAAGTATTTTCTAAATAAATTTCTAATTGAATGTGCAATTCATCTAGTGCTCACTTAGATCAAGCAGGGAGTAAAGATTTTCGAGAGATGTAATCTCATTGTAGAAGAAGCTTAATTTGATGATTTCCTTCTTTTTAATTAATTTATGTTCTCTAAATTCTTATTATAGGTTTGCATGGGTACTGATTTTAACACATTTGACACAATCCGATTTTCCATAGTCCTAAATTCAATTGATCACATGAATTTTATATTGCAAAGTTTCTATTCATTATTTTTAATATAAGGCCAATAAATTACCATACACATGAATTTCTTAGTATTTTCTATTCAATTAAAAGTGACAAATAGTTGTTAAAATTTTTAATTTGTGAATTTATGTTTATTTGCATGATTATGTGCCTCTCATTATAGATTAGTATTATTCTGCCGTCTTTTGAGGATGACTTATGACTTGTATAATGAACTCGCCTATTGAAGTTTGCATTTCAATCAAAGTGATGACTTCATGCTACTTCATTGAAATCTTGTATTATTGATTGTAAACATATTGTTGTATCTTCCTTCAACTTTATCAATTGATACATGCAAGAAAGTTGTATTGATGTTTCATTCATAATGAGTCCTTGCAAACTTGCTTACATGATTGATAAAAATGTCACTATTATCAACCTTTATGATTTATAGTATCTGTTCATGTATTTGCTTGTATTTAAACTATGCATCGCCTCTAGTTACTGCTAGGGCTTTGTTCTTCATGGGGCTTTTCAATGCACTTGCATAGTGCATTCGCGTACTTTGACTATTCCTGCATACTTTTCAAAGCGTTCATGCTTTATGCACGTATGATTTTCAAAGCATTTTTACTTCAAGTATTTACATGTGTCTAAATCTTAGATGCGCACTTTGAAGTAAATACATGTTTTTTGAGATGAGAAATTTAAATCTCATTTCAATATTTTTCAATCCGCACAGCATTCTCAACTGCTACACTTAAGTACTTGTCCCGATTGTTGGTTAAAATAAATTATTTTCTCATATAATTTTCAGTGTACTATACAATTTTCAATGCATTTGTATGGTGCATGTGTAGAACAACCAATGCACTGAATGCATTTGCATGTTTCTCAATACATTTTAATAGAATTTAAAGATTACCTCGTGATGCATACATGTCACTTAAAAATATCCTAATTTGATTTTATAAACCTTTACAATCCTTGCGTGAATTTCGAGACTTTGCACATCATAATTTTGAGATCGCCTCGCAATGTTTGTAAGTGAAAATTATACAAATTTTATATTTTACATTAATATTTTGCAATTTAAAATTTTTAAGGATCGCCTTATGTTTGCTTGCAAAAATATTACGAACCTAGTGGCGAGGTGAAATTGGGACGAGCAAGTGCTACACATTTTTTACATGCCATATTTTTTATTATTTATATTATTTATATCATTTTTTACATGACAGGGGCTTCTTCCTCCCTACAAATATGAAGGGTGGGGAGACTTTTTTCACAAATTTTAAGGATGCTTGAGTTCATTGTGAGTTTTTAGGGTTTTTTAGTGAGTTCTTGTTCGTACTCCTTATCGAGCTAACAAGTCGTACAAAACCCCAATAAATCATGTATTTGTGTTGATTGTTCACTTTTCTATTTTTTTACTATAACTTGCAATACTTTTAAATGTTTATGATGTGAAACGTATTAGCATGGATGATTAAATTAAGGAAGTTTGCACGCTTAAATTTTAAAGCACAATAATTATAAGCTTTCTCTTGATGATAAACGACAAAATAAAAATGATAAGGTGATAAAATAGCTTAGGTCTAAACACATGCGAGAGGTTGAGATCATTAAGTATTCAACTAAATCTTACTTTGCATACATGAGTGGTTTCAACGAGAAAAATTGTTTCTTTGATAACCTACATTTTACTAGTTTTGGTTTCTTGTACTGTAATTTTAAGAGTTTCTTCAGTCGGAATTCTAGTAAGATCTGAGCGCCTCCCCCATGTAAGGAAAATCTGCAGGGACTCTGTGTAAAACCCAAAAAAGACGATCGTAGGTCGTCGCACGCTTTTTTATGCATCGCGAAGAGACTTAAGTGAAATTTAAGGTTAACGGAATTCGACGAAAATAATTTCATAAAATTCTACGCAAAAATTTGATCAATTTGATGCATAGAACTTATAGTTAATTTTGTATATTTTGAGAGATAAAAATTTTAGAAGTCTAAAAAAGCCAACTTTATCCCAAAAAGTTTCTTAAGCCAAATTTACTTAAGTGAGAGCAAAAAGGTCAATTGGCAACTCCCTTTCTCTCTACTATACTAAATTGAACCCTTCCCCCCTCTCTTTTCATTCGCACGAACAGCCAAACCGAGAGAGGGAGCGGGCTCGGCGACGGGCTAGGGCTCGGCGACGGGCTCTCCAACGGCGATTTTTCGGTGAAGAATTTAGTGCAAATCGAAGAGGACGACGAGGGGAATCTAAAGGCACGATTGTTTTAAATCAAATCCCTCTCAATCTCAAATCATCTGGAAAAGAAATTTCTAGGGTTTTTTCAAAATTTCGTTTTCTTCCAAATTTCTCTTTACGAAATCAATAGAAAGAATTTAGGGGAATGTTTTAATGATAGAAATGAGGTTTCCTTGAGAATTTTTGGAAATCAAAATTTAGAGCTTTACCTAAAAGTTGAATTTCCTTATGAAACTTTTATAAAAATGATTTTTATGGATCTTAAGAACGTTTCTAAAGAGCAATTTCAAGTTTTTATAAGAAATTTTATTTTTCTTAATTTCTTAATTAATTAAATCCAAAAATTTATAAGATAATTATTAAATTATGTTTAGGAATAATTTTAAGTAAAGATTTGAGCGAAATTGAAGATTTAGGGTTTCCAAAAAATTGGATTTTAAATAATTTCGAAAATAGAAAATTAATTATTTTAATTTTTGAAAATAATTGTGACATAGCTTAGTTTAGTTATAATTATCTTTAGGTGTGAATTAAGGAGACGACAAGTGGTTAAACAACGTCGTGCAATGTTGTGGTGGTTGTTCGCTATTTGCAAAGTAGGTGATTATATTTAAATTGAGTTTATGAAATTTAATTATGTAATATTGCACTTTCAAAGGTTACAAGTTAATCTTCATGAATTTTTAATTATTGTTCTAGCTTTTCAATTCTCGTTTATATGTATGACATGTTACTTAAAATGTTCAAGTTAATTAAACAAATTTAAGGCATAAAAGATACAAAGTTTTCTTTACCCGAAAAACATTGAAGATCATACGATGTATTGAATAGTTTTTAATCCCTTAATGAATATAAGTATTATAAAGTGCATGTGTATGTTAATCCAGAAGTGCCAAAATGACAATGAGGTTCTACGGAGCCAATTGTAACGGGGTTTGCAAAAGCCAAATGGTAATGGGGTTCTTCGGAGCCAAATGATAAAAGAAATGGCTAAATGACAGTGTACCTGATCAGTACAAAACTCTGATATTTTCGAGATGGGTGTTTATCATATTATGATTATGAAATTTATGCATTTAATGAAAGGATTTAAGAAAAAGGAAAGTTTATGGAAAAAAAAGAAGGATTTAAGGAAATATTTTAAACAATGATTATGAAATATTTTATGAAATCATACCTATAAATATTTATTATGATCCATTATTGTTTCATTTTGATGCTTAATGACATGTTTAAGAAAGAGAAAAAAAATATTTCATGAATTTAAGATAAATATTTTTCACCTGCTGAGCATTAGCTCATCCTATTATTGAAATATTTTTCAGGAGAAATTATTAAGAAGTGATGGCTACGAGACGACAGTATACCTACCGCCGTAGAGGACCTCAAGAAGAAAGGTTTTTATGTTTTCTGTTGAGTTTGAGTTCAGTGGTTTGTACCTGTGTCTGAACAGTTTATTGGAATTTATGTAATTGTGTTGCAGTTTATGTTTTGTTTTTGTGAGAGAAAAAACAAACTTGGAATACTTTAATTTGATGTTTTTATTGGCTCTTTAATATTAATGGATGATGTTTATGTTATGTTATAAAGGTTTAAATGAAATTGATTATGGTTTACACGTGTTTTCCGTACGACCGACTGTTCCCGCCCCGTTATTTTCAGGCTAATCAGGCCGGGCTGGGTCGTGACACTCTGGGCCTACCCACCACGCCAAGAAAGGCGTATAAAC